TGCAACGTCTTTGCGTTGCTATGCAAAGACGTTGCAATGCCTTTGCCTAGCGACCTGTAAGAAATCATCAGTAAGGTAACCAGTAAGAAATGTAAAGAACTAGTGAGAAATGTAAAGAAATATATCGCATAAAAAAACCGTGCTTAAAGATGCACGCAATGTAATGTTAATGGAACGTTTTAAAATCGTTCAGTTTCTTAATCAAAAATTCGTTAAATTTTTACAAAATATTACATAGATAATAAAACAAATTGCAAATTTGGGCTTCCAGATACCCATATTCGAGTGGAGGACTATGTGATTCAAAATGTCATGTCTGTAGGTACCGTTGTTTTTTCACAATGCGAGAAATATACATACATTCATGCAGATTCTTCATTATTTAATTTCTTTAAGTATAACGCAGGGCTCTAATAGTTGGGGGCAACAATTTGAAAAATGATTCAGACTTTTATAGAGAACCAACGCAAAATGCCAAAACAAAATTAATAGCCTTTCTGTGCTAACACCTTCGGGCTAAAGAATAAGAATTCTAATTGTATCAGAAATCCACGGGTATTAACATGCTCAAAATGAGCTTACAACAGCGAGGAACTGGTCATTCTGGTCGGGTTTTGATTCCCAGTGTGTAATTTGCCTGCCGAAGTGAGTTTTTATATTGTGTGATGCGAACTAATTATGAAGGATTAAAATTTTCAGGGTGTCTATAGTTTAAAATCTACCACTTCATAAGGGGGAAAAAATTTACAATAATTTCCAAGTTTTTAAAAAACGTGATTGAGAAAGTTTGAAAGAGACTAGAGATTATTTTTTGATATGCAACAGTTTTGTAATAATAAATTTTTTAAAAAAATGCAGACTGTATTCATTATGCCGATACCTCTTGAAGATAATCGCCGAATACTTTGCTGTCAATAATTGCCAACTATTCAAGATAGCGCCGTAAACAGCGCTGAAATATACCAGCTGATCTAAATTAGCGGGAAGGAGAGAATTTTAACACTCACTTTGCCGCAAAGAAGGCACCGGCGAAAAATGCCGCATCCGCGGAGAATCAGCTGTTCAAACACTTGCTCCCGCTATCCGTCATCCGCTTGGAGCATGCGCAGTTTTTGTTGATATTTGCAGCTCCATATCTTTTACTGCATTTGGCTCTTTATCGCTTTATTTGGCAAAACATTCCAGAGGAAAAAATGTAGGACCGCAAAGTGGAGAGAGGTCATGAGTAAGGTAATAATTTTAGGGTTGAGAAAAATGGCAAAATTCTCCAGTAATCTCGGGATAATTCATGATATTTGGCAAAATCTTCGTGGCCTGGGATATTAATAATTTTATAATAATATCACGACCGCTGCGGGTTCAAGCTATAGGATAATTTTCCGTTCAATATTATTCATTTTTCGTAACGCTAAGTACAATATATAGAACGATGCTAACATTTTGTTCTAAAACAAATATCTAGAAAATGGCGAACATCCATAGTTTCTAGTTTAGGTGTTCTAAAGAATCCTCCGTTAATCTTTGTACAAAATTTCAGATCCTAACTTAAATGTTCGTCGAAAAATTTCGTCGAATATTGTATTTAAGCTGTTGCATGGTTCTTGGCTTATTTGGCATACTTTTCCTTTTAAGAAGCCTCAACTTAAAAAAGTTTGTTGCCGTTCCATTTGGCAATCGCGGCGGTTACTTGAAATTACAAAATCGAGAAATAATGCGAACGGCAAAAATTTCTCTCGAGAAAGCTGTGGTTTGTCACCGAAAAGTTGAGCCAATCGGTTAAGTTGTTGCAGCGGCAGACGCTTTTCGAATAATTAGGAAAATGCAGTATGCTTATTAGGTCAGAATAATACAATGTTGACTTTCAAAGTGAAATTGATTAGTTTTCGCCCTTTAAGTGGTGGTAAAACTTTTTGTCAGAAAATCTTCTAGAGCTGACTATATATTCCTAAAAAGAAAAATGCTGTACAAGAGAACAATTATTTATTTTTAAACCATAACACTAATTGAATGCTAATTGTGTTCGCTGTATCATTCCCCAAGGTGGGCGAGAAGAAAAAAATAACTCTAGCTACATAGTAATAAAGTGCATGACTAAATAAGTGAATTTTTTAAACAAGCATAGCAATTCTGTTAATTCCTTTATATGAAATTGATATTTTTATAAGTGCATTTAATTCTTTAAGAATAAATAACTAAATGTTTGTATATTGAACTTACAAAGGTTGTCTTCATTAACTGATATGTTTTTAAAGTTTTTCAAAAGAATTGTTCTAAATCGAATTAGTTTGCTGATATTGAAAGGTTTTATGTAACTTTGGAAACAAGAATTTCTAATGCATTCCAACAATCTACGAAAACTGGGGGTAATATTAAAAGCTTTAAATTTTTGGCTTGAATTTTGGAATAAGGTTTTACTTTGCAGAGAATTTCTCACTTAAACTCTGACGGAAAATACTATTAAATAATAAAATTAATCTAACATTTCGAACAGAAACTAAAAAGTAAGAAGAAATGTCTGACATTCGCTTTTATATTCAACATTTTCGGCAACTTCTAATATTGTCGCAATTAGCCGCGGGAATTCTTGCCGCCATAGAATTACTCCCCTATTTATTATTCAAGAGGCGAAATTTTTCGAATACAGTCTGAAGAAGAAATTACTTCAGCAAATTAAAAATTGAATTTTTTCCAGTATATTAAAAAAAGAATGGATTTCCATCAGAAAACGTTGCAGTACGTATATTTCTACAAAATGCTATATTGTAGTTTTCTCCTATATCAGTTTAAAAGTTTATGGTTTTATTCTGCTGCAAACGCCCACATTCTAGGGCAATATTCCAGATCATACTTGAGCCATTATTTAGACTATGGCCTAGCACACGAAAGCTATCTGTCTAAGGAAGGGGTTGGCTTCGTAGAGAAATTTCCAAGTAAAACGGACTCGTATTTACGGACGGAGGCTAACAGGCAACGTTTGGGCAGATAACTTTCCAAAAAAATTGTGGATATGTTTTTCTTTACCGGAAGACATCCCAGACTTTTTGCATTGTAAAATATTGTGAGTGATATTTATCCGCTGAAAGTATTTTTTTACAGAAGTTTCTTTTTACCTTTATCAATTTTTGATTTCAAATCAGATTTGATCTTTGCCTTTCACACATCAAATTTATGACGGTCTAGTCTTTATCAGATATCTGAATGCCAAAGATTTCATACTGTTAATGTTAAATTGGATATTTTATAAATAAACATTATTATTAAAATTACTATTAAAATATTCATTTCTGAAATAAATGCTTTATTGCTGCACTTGTTCTCAGTAACTCCAATTCCATCTTTAATGTTCATTGATTTAAAGTTGATTACAAAAGTACCTTTTAATCAACGCTTATAGTCTTTAGAATATGAACTTCAAAAATCATTTTCCAACACTCGGCTAGCCTCGTAACCATTAGAACGACAGTTGCGGCAGATGATTCTAGTCGCCTAAATTTTTTCCTCCACTTCATTTTTGTTTAGCATGTTTCGCTTCATGGAAAGCACGTGTTAACTTGGCCTACAGCCTAAATAGTGGAGGAAATAAGTGCTGAGCGATGATGATGATGACGCGTTACAATCGCAAATAGAAGACGTAACCACGTTTTTGAAGTGTCTATTTTATAGGGAAAAAGTGTAGTACTTTCTAAAACTTAATCCAGATACGTGAAACTGCGTTTTATAGTGAACGATATATAATAAAGAATACTTCAGGATTAAATATAGTAACAAGAAAGTATATTATGCACACTACAACGCATTATAGTATATTTTATTAGTCCAAAGGGGCTTTGTCCCCAAAGGACTATTGTTTTTTCGTTTTGCGATTTTGCGTTGAATCACTATAAATATCCGTTTCACTTTTCAAACAGTTGCCACCAAATGTTAGAGTTCTGAATTATATTTGAAGAAATTAAATAATGAAAAATCATAAATGTCTCTATATTTCCGCATTGGGATGAAACAGCGGTACATAGAGCCATCGAATTTTGAATGATGTAATTTTCCTACGAATATGGGCATGTGGAAGCCTTATTATCGATTTCATATTTTGTATAACTTAAACGAATTTTTGATTAACAAACTCAAGGATTTCAAAGCGAGCAATGGCAACGTTGTACAGAGAAACATTTTTATCTCCAGCGCTCGAGACTCTGTATCGAAAATTCTAAAGATATGCTCAATTTAAAACTGTTTTGCGATATTATTCTTGAATTGAATTTTCTGGTTTAAGTGCGAAGAACATGATATTTAATAAATAAAGGTAACAGACAATATGTTAAAGAAACGCCCCTTTGGACGAAATTTAAAATCTGAAACCCTTCAGATTTTTTTTAATGTTTCTACTACTTTATTAATTATTTTATTTATTTAATTTTGTTCTTTTCTGACAGTCTTCCATAGGGCTCCGGCAGTTTTAATGTTTGAGCCGCCCAGATGGTAGCCGTCTATGATACCGTAGAGCACGGGTTCCAGTCTTAGAGAAGGCATAGTTGTAACTGTCCGTCCCTTCATAGGAGGTAACGGTGGTTGTCTGTTAGATGCCTCCACAGTAAAATGGCCACCACTTCCGGCCTTACAAGCTGCCGATGTCGAAAAAAGACAAAATAGTGCCCCCTGTTAGGCAAAAAAAAAAGTTTTAATTTTAGAAATTAGACCCTGCTGACTGCTCAAAATGAAAAAATCCCAGAAATGGTCACCTTAATAGTGCCCAAATTTCTGCCAAACATATTGTGGCACCCTTACGAGATTATTTTATTTTGAGTAGTGGTTCACTTCCGTACATGTGCTGGCACTTTTACGGCGGGGCACCGTTGCGAAACGATCCCTTAGCATGAGATGTAGCGCCTTTCGAAGCACAGTAGAAAGAATTTGGCGTCTTTTTCTTCTCGCCAAAAACCTACTCGGCAACCCTCCAGCTCCGGAGAAAGGAACGACACTGACGGAGTTCAGCTGCCACCATCAACAATCGCCACCGGCGATAATAGAGGAATGGATGAATCTCTTCTCCTGCCTGTTTCTAACCTCACTACTGCATTATCCTTGTGCTGCTGAAATCGAAGGATATTATGTGCACAGCGGAAAAAGAATAATTATAGACTGCTTTAAATGCCATCTGACAGGTGACAGTGTAGTAATCGAATGGTGTGATTTCTGATTTTGTTTGTTTGCTTTTCATTACCTCTTACTCTTTGTGAAAAGTCTTGGAAGAAATGGGAATGATGAGGAGCTGTGCGAGGCACAGTGTTTGTTTCCTGTCTTTCAGCATGTGGGTAAGTAATCTATGTTTTTTTTTTTTTTTTTTTTTTTTTTTTTTTCTCTCCTGCTTGTTATCTTGGTGATTATTTATACAGGCGTTAGTTGTTTATAAGTATTTTGTCCGAGAAGATAACGCTAAGTGATGTGCTGAAAGTTTAGAAGTATGAGTGTTTACAAATAGCTACGTTGGTAGACACCAAATTAACTCCTTCTAATAATAAGAAGTATCAGAAGATAATCTGAAACATTTCGAAATATGTTATATACGGCGAAACTCGTTTAAGAATTCACCTTTAAAAAGTTTATTTCTTGAAAATTCTTCCAGTGCGGTAGTGTCAGACACCCGAGCACCTAGGCTCGAGGCCCTTGTAGAGTATTTAGCTTTTCGAATTTTAACGCAAATAACCTGTCAGAGATCTAATTGTAATTAATTTTTTTAAAATAAATTTGGTGGATTTTAACCTGTCAGAGATCTAATTGTAATGAATTTTTTTAAAATAAATTTGGTGGATTTTAACGCAAATAACCTGTCAGAGATCTAATTGTAATTAATTTTTTTAAAATAAATTTGGTGGATTTAAGAAGATTAACAGTTCTAAAAAATAAGTGGAACTATTTAGGCAGGGTATTATCTGAATTTAGAGGCCCCTAGGCTAATTCCAAATAGATTCTTTTCCGATAATGTAAAATTTTCTCGTATAAAGCATTTAATATTGGAAAAAATTTCCTCTTAAGAAGGTTTTACTTATCTTTCGACAAACTTTTTATGTCTTTGGATAAAATATTTCTGCAGTATTAATAGTTTTTCTTTTCTATTGTTATGAATGACTATGTTCTTTCACCTTCCTTTTACGATATATTACGTGGAAAAGAAAACTAGAAGTGCCTTTACTAAAAAAACTAAACTAAGTGGCTCAAACAGCCCTAATGAGCCAAGGCATGCAGTGCGCCAAAATCTGCTTTCTTGACCGTGGGCCCCGGGGTGCGTAAGCATATGTCCTGAACAAGTGGTCCGCTTGTCGCAGGACTCCCAGTGTTTAAGTCCCCAAGCGAACTTGGTACTCACCTTTACTATTTCCTTTAAACTGTGTCTTACGTTTTTGAGATATTAGATCATTTTTATTTTGTAAAATTAATTAGCTGTTATGCAAATAGAATCTTCATTTACTTTGCTAATTAACAAAATAAATCATATTTGCACTGTGGTGCCTCAACATAAAAGTAGCTCCAAATTATGAAAGTTGCTTATTTACAAGTTAGGAACTGGTGTTTATAAGACTGCAGGTATTTTTATGCGGAAGCACCCTTATGAAGTTGCCTTTTTTTTCGAACAGTGGCTAATCTTCTTAAAGAAGGAAAACCAAATACATCCAAACGAGAAGATGAGAGAAAACTGGCAACCTGAAAACTTCAAATTAAAGATTAAAGCCTAGACAAAGGCTTATTAGGGCAAAGCATACCAGGGCTATCTGTTTCAGGGAAGGAATGTGTTCATGGAGGACTTTTTAATGGAATCTGGTTCATATTCATGTTACGTATTGGGAAAAACTGGAAAACCTTCATGCAGCTAGTCGATTCGCTGGGATTTGAACCCGCGTCGAATTACCAGCGTTCAGCGATCTTTCCTTTCTTTCAACCAAGAATTTGCCATATAAAAAGTTTGCAAATTTTTAAATGTAATTTATCATACAATGTTATACACTTCTTCTTAAAGAAAAATAATACTGACTCTTTGCAGATTTCTGAAATTAAATATTTACTGCTGAATAACGTTAAAACTCAATTCGACAAGAATTTTAATTTTAAAACTTTGGCATATGTTTCTGCATTTCTTTCAGGAATGTAAAATGGTATTTAGAGGAAAGATATCAAATTTTAAGAAATATAAGTCTTATCTTAAAATTAAAAACTGTAATAAATATAGAGGCTTGCAGTTTGTATATTACTACGGTATCTCATCATAATCAGTAGATTTTACTTTAGATGCTGAGGATGGTGCTCGGAAGTTAAATTATGATTTTTGTAGTTGACTGATTATATGATGTTAAAAACCCATTTTTATTATGATACTTACGGTATAAAATAGCTATGTTGAACAATGTTTTAAGAAATCTAGAGATCTGTTGGTGACTCAGTGGGTAAGACCACTGAATACTAAAAATTGGATACGTATTTTCAATCCTGGTAAACTGTTTCGCTGTATCAACATTTTCGAGTTTTTATGCGTATGTAACACAAAAATGACTTATTTACTTTAGGAAAGTTCTCCATGAAAGCATACCTCCTCTTAATCAGACAGCTGTTGCTTTCCTAGAACCGATGAAACCAATAATTAACAGTTTAGATAAATGACTTCTTGAATGTTAGTTTTTATGTTTTTTTTTTTTTTTTTTTTTTTTTTTTTTTAGTGCTGATAAGTAAAGCACTTTTATAGTGTTTTATAGTGGGTTTGAAGATAAAGAATCTTAGTATCGCTGGATAGTAGTAAGGTATGCTTGCCAATGGACATAATTTTATTGATATTGAGAATAATAATACTTCTTCAAGATGTTAAAAAAAGATGAGAATAAATGCGCGCAAGGTATCTTACCTGTAGACAAAGAGTCCCGAAGTGTAGTATTTAATTTCTCTCTTGTAGACTGGGCATCCTTTGAAAATAGGGCCCACCAGAGGCCGAGTAGTAAAGTCGCTGAACACTGGTAGTTCGATCCGAGGTTCGAATCCCGCGAACGGGTTGCCTGCATGGGCATTTTAGTGGTTCTCCCGATATATAACGTGTATACAAGCCTGTTTCCCTTAGAGTGTCCTCCACGAAGGCATCTCTGCCCTTAGGCAGATAGCCCTTGAGGTTGTGCTGTATTCACTTAAACCAAACTCTCAAGAGCGTAACATGATTAGTATTATAATCGGTATGAAATGCTCCATTTCATGAGAAAGAAAGACGTCATGAGATATTTCATGACAAAGACTGAGAAATGAAACATTTTGGGAAAAAAGAAAGATTGTTTATTGAACTTTGAAGTTAATAAAAATATGAGAATGATATGCGATTTTGATTATAATTAAATAAGTAGTAGGCTCATTAAAGCATTATCCAAGTTCGTAAAATGCCGATTAGAACTTTTTAACTTGTGTCAGAGTTTTTGTTATCTTGACTTCTACCAGAGTTCGTATATTTCAAATTATGTGCAAACAAATTATATACAGTTCCGATAAAAACAGCTTCCAAACACTATGGACATAATCCGCTACGACTGTTATTAATACATTTTTCTATTCGTTTTTTAAAACTTGTGGTAGATAGTTTGACGCTGATTGCTTGCGATAGTAATTGTCCCATCATTCCGCTATAATGACGAATTTTTTTTTATGTCATGGTCCAGTTAATCCGGTTATCCGTCCCCGATAAACCTTGAGTTGACTGCTATAGCATATTTAGGGATCGAATTACAGAAAAGAAAATTCAAACCGCTTTTGCAAGGGACGTCAATAACAACTTCATTGAGTGAATTTACCTGTTGCGTGTGGAGAGACATAAAAAATGTGGACTCAATATGTAATTTTTCTCAAAGGCATGGAAAACAAGCGACGAATTCGATCTGCGTGACAAGAGAACATTTTCAGTCATCCAGGTTCGTTGTGGAGATCCATGCAATCAATAATAAATGAGCAGAAATAATGGAAAACTTACGTTCAAATTTTGGGTCGAAGTGTTTTAACATTTACTATTGGTGATTAATAGCTTTTAGTAATTTCAATTCAAACTCCTAAAAAAAATTGACTTCTGTTATAATGAAACCATAATAGATGAAACAAAACAAGGCGATCCTGTAAGATGAGTTTTGAGCTTTCCTTAATTGTAAGTGTAATATTATTGAAAATATTACTGCTGTCATTAAAATTCTGATCTGAACGAATTCATCTGGCCAAGAGGAAAAGCTTCGCTTCCGTCATTGGCCAACGCCTAGACACGAATTCATCTGGCCAAGAGGAAAAGCTTCGCTTCCGTCATTGGCCAACGCCTAGACAACACCTTATAAATGATAGCACCATATCTCAATTTTGATGGAGGATAGATCTTCTACCATCAGTCTCTCTCGGAGACGTTCGGCCCGATGTTATTTTAAGTATCCCCATGCCTTAAAGGCCTTTTCTGCCACTGCACAATCGTAATATTCATATCTTCTTCGGGAACTAAAGCCAGGTCCAGTGATATAACAATCGACAGTGTTAACCACCGTCCCAAAAAGGATGGCACAAGTTACAGTGGATAGTTAATATAGATTGCTTGAAGTCTTTTAAGAGGTTGATCAGTTTGAAGACTGGGAGCCTGATCAAGGTCGCTAACAGAAGCCGTCTACCGTCTGACAGACCAGTTCTCGAATCTTGAGCAAGACGTCAACCTTTTTGATTGTAGTGTCTGTATTACTTTGACTGCAGCATCAATATATTTTTAGAGTGTAGTTCAATCGGAATATGTGTAAATCCATGTATAAGGGAAAAAAAAAAAAAAATGCTATAAAGGCGGTGACTAGGAAAGAGGAATACAAAACCGCTTAGAAGCCGTGTGCTGGGAGAGTCTGTGTTGGGTCTTAAATCGATCATTGAATGTATGTCCATTAATGGTGTATACAATGGTCTTAAATCGATCATTGTATACGTTGAGAATGCGAACGTATGTGCAGTTTAAGTAAGGATACATTGAAGACGCCAAGTTCTCTTCTTACGTTATTTTCGTACGTTGTTCTTTTAATCTATTAGGATGGCAAGAAAATAATTTCGGCTTGCGCAAATAGATAGTGTTATGTTCCTTGTCAATCTTAGAATTTCTTTTGAAATTTGGCAGCTGACACTTTTAGTTTTCTATAGCAAAATATTCCCTGTATTTTTGTTTACAATAGTTTACGGCCAGTTTGAATAAAGGGTGCAAAAATAAACATTTTTCCACATTTTCCTTTATTTTTATTTCCATAAAGGCAAGAAAGTGGTTGAGGCTCCCAAACAGGTATGTGAA